CCCCCAAAAGCTATTTACTAGCCCTTTGGCTACCGGTGTCCTATATATATATATATAATATATATATATATATATAGGGTGGCGATCTTTGCTTTGCTTACCGGTGTCCTATTAAAATGATGCCTTGAAAATTTCAGATTTTGACAGTGGCATGTGCCAGATAAAACACTAACTGTAGATAGTTGCGTGAGCGTAAAATCTGAAATTTTCAAGGCATCATTTTAATAGGACACCGATAAGCAAAGCAAAGACCGCCGTATATATATAGGACGGCGGTAGCCAAAGGGTTAGATGTATGCAGGATCAAAGGTTTTTAGTCTCGGTCCGTAGAAAAACAAAATGTTTAGCGCAATTCCAGTCTCGTGTAAATATTTTTCGATTTGTGTAGCTGTCCAAAACAGTTTTTCTTTGCAGAAAACGATTTCTCAGGTAGAAAACATTTTTTTAACCCGTAATGCCGCGTGCTGGGATAAAAACGACCTAGAAATTCGAATGAGCCATGAAAGAGTACATTAAATTGTTTATGCAAGTGTTTAGTATCCGTTAAATCTTACTCCATCTCTGTTATACCTTTACCTAAAGTACATGACGTATTAATTACCCAGACATTAGAATTAGAAGCAACAAATATTCTTCTACAATACGCGTGCCCTTACGGGTTAAGCAAACTACTGACTTTTTCTCATTTTGTCACTGATTTTTAACGATTTTTTGAAGATCTTTTTGAAATTCTTCTAAATGTTCGATCCAAAGACCAAAAACTGCTCTTTCACATTTCTAATGAGTGCTTCCGAAAAAATGAAGCTCTAGGTATTTTGACGATAACTTTATTTTTTGTAAGGATACAGAAAAAGGTTCGCCGTTTTATTCTCCACAAAAATATATTAAACAACTTTTACATATAGTAAAACTAAAGGACTAGATCATAGATGAAATACTGTGAAACTTCAATCGTCATTACTTTCCAACTCAGAGCCCAACGAAAAACAATTATTTTGAACACGTTTCCATGCATAAAAGTGGAGTCGAAATGTATATTCTTGCGCTCCAAAGTGTCATCTTTCTTTTCACATATCATACATTCGCTTTCAATCTGTTTTTCTGACGCAAAAAGTGATTTTAAGAAAATTTGTTGGAAAAAGGAAACGTTGGCTTCTTTGCGGTAGCACAGAAAAAGAAATGAAACTGTTCGACTTTTTCTATTCAGGAGTAATAGAAGGTCTGTTTTGCTTTAAAATAAAATAAATGCAACCTCATGGATTTTGGCTGAGTTATAAAGAATTTCTTATATGCCTCAAACCTCCCGGTTAAAAACGATCATTTTTAGCAAAATTGATAAACGAAAAGGCATTCTCTCTTCCCTTGTGATTATCTTTTCGTTTTTCGTTTAGTAAAATGTAACGGACTGAAACTTGAAAAGTCATTTTTTGAGTTGCAAAATAATGAAGGTTTTATTGAAAGCATTAATACGATCAAGATACTCACGTCATAAAAAAATAAGGAATTCCTCTGTTGGGAGTGCGATGAAATAACTAAAGGAGTGTGTCGAAAAGTCAACCACACTTTCTATGCATGTGTCTCAAAAAAAAAAGAAAAAAAGAAAAGACTACATGCGTAATGATAAAAAGAAAAACACAATGGCATACAAATAGTAGGCCGTTATTAACTACAGAAGGAAAAATGAGCTTGAAAATTCCGGCTCGTATTTTTACACATAGACACAGACATAGAAAGCAAAAGGTAAAAAAGGAAGAAAAAATATTGTTTGACATGTGAAATAAAAAAAAATACCAAAACACATTTTTCATTTCTGTTGATGAAAAAAACCAACAACGGCTCTTTTTTTTGGCTGCGGGTGACGCAAATGTGCGTCATCGTAGTTTCTGGGTAAATCAAAACTCATAGATTCGCATTTGATATCAGTTTTCGCGACAGCATCTAGCGACTCGTTGAATCCGAATATGTACGATTTGTTGAGAAAAAGTTGAATTTTGAGGTCAAAAACTACCAAGAAACGGAAAATTTTGAAAAGGAAAACCGCAGCCAAAGGCTTAATTGATGTTTTTCATCTCATATTTTCTGATGAATAATGTTATAGGAGTAGCAAGACCAAGGGGGAAAAACCGGACTCCTGGACTCCCATGGACTCCTGGACTCCTCTCACATGCTTAGACATTTAACTAATAGAAATTTGTAGACGAAGGCGAAACCTAAGCTAATCACAGCGTGTCAGTGACATCAGAAGATGAAACAACAGAAGATGAAAGACAAGAAAGGCAAACTTTATTGTTTTCTTTTCCTTATGGCTGAAAATGAAGTGATGATTACTTTTCTTGAAACTTAATGTTTGAAGCAACTATGTTCAGCCATCAGTAGGTCTTTTTTCGTTTTAGCTATGGAACAAATTGCAGGCTCAGTCGTTTTACCTTTCGTTTAATTGATGTTATGTGTGTTCTGACGATGTTTTTACTCATATTGCATTACACATATGAGTTGAACTTCGTCTGAGTACAATATTCATCAATTCAATAGTAAGGTTTGCGATCTTATTAGTCGATTATAAGCAAGAATCTGATTTCAAAAGGTATATATAGGCGGTAAGTTTGTGAATCTTAGAATCCAACAGCTTAATTAGAGAAGTCTGGAACTCCGAATAACACGTTTTCTAGTGGTAAAAGGCTTTATAATGTCTAATGAAATCCAAAACCTCACAAAACCTGCATTATATGAATATCTAGTATATGCAGTAAAAATTTAAGCTCAAACCGGCAAAGTTATCATGAAGTCGGTATGATACGCGATTCAGTCGCGGTTTGGAGCGTCGAAACACACAGATCACAATTTGTGGCTCGGAACAAAATGCTAATACTCTGAAGGAAACATCGCAGAGCACTGGTAAGTAGGGCCCTGCAGGATTGAGTTTTTTTGTCTCGATCCCAAAAAATTCTTTTCGCCAGTCCCTATCCCGATCTCGTCCCGTAGGCTTAATCCCAATCCCGATCCCGTCCCGTAGGCATAATTACAATCCCGTTAAATCCCGAAATTTGTTTTCGCTCGAATACATGAACTCAACCACAACTATTGATGAAGACGGAGGGGAAAATGTTTTAGACTATTGGAGAACACAACAGGCATATCCAATGATATCATCTATTGCTCGAGAAATTTTCGCTATTCCTGCGTCAAATACAGAAGTACAACGACTGTTCTCGTCTACCAAAAACACTGTCTCCAATTGTCGTACTAGTTTAGGCATCGAGGTGTGATGGTACAAATTTTGGAAGTTGTAGATGTTATGGTGGTGACCGGCGGTTTAGACTTTTTAGACCTTTAGACTGTGTAGCCGCGGGGGGGTGGGTTCTCGTTTAACGCGAGAAGAGTCGTTTTTGCTAAAATGTTTCCAGAGGCACTGAAAAGGCTTTTTAGGGTCTGAAAATCTGTGAGCCATGATCGCGGACAAAAACTGCACCAGATGAGTTAACATAAGA